TTATTATTATTATTATTAAGATGAACGACCATACAAATCTTTTTTCATAAAATTAACCAGTGGAAACAGCTTGCCTTCAGAAATTGTGGCCACTCCATCACTGGAGATTTTTAAGAAGAGGCTAGAGTAGACAGTCACTTGTCTGAAATGGTATAGGTTCTCCTGCTTGAGCAGGGGGCTGGACTAGAAGACCTCCAAGGTCCCTTCCACCTCTATTCTATTCAACCCTTATGCCTGGGGGTCAAGCCTGGAAGAATTTTTTTTAAAAGAATTATATAAAAATAATATATAGTCCTTCTATTTAAAAAATCCCACCCCCGGAATAACTATGCATATTAATACTTTACAAATTAAATTAAGGATCGAACTGATTTTTCATAAAGATGGGGTCCAAATCCACTTAAACTATAAAAACTCTAAGAGGTAATAGCTAAATTCATCCCATAATTGCTTTAAATTCTGTAATCTTTGTGAGAAAACAGTTATGCAATTACAATTAGCCATTCCCCCCCCCCTAATTCTGAAGAAACCAGAGTAGGAAAGATTGTCTAATGATAAGATGCTTTAACTTTACTCCCTTAGGTTAACACTTCAATTGATATTATTTCTAAAGTTAGCAATTCTTTCCCTGGCTGGAACCCCAAGGTCAATTTAATTTCCTTTTTAATGAAGGAGAGAATTGCAGAATGGTATTAGTAGCACTGGAATTCAGAAAGTCAGAGTAGAGAGTTTGAAATCTATTCCCTTCTTGAAAACAATCCTCTTAAGCTGCTGACCTTGATACTTGAGAAGCTTAAAGAGAAAACCCTTATATGTGAAGGAACAGGAAATGGAATGCTATGGAAATTCCAAAGTTTTCTCCCTTTTTCTGGTGACCATCTCCCAAAGGAAATTAAAACGTCTTTATAGTTATTCTCCATGTTTACATATCAAATCCTTTGGGGGTTCAGTTCAAAAGGGAAAGCTGTTAGGCTTACATTAACAGTCTATTTCAGGGGTCTTCAAATGTGGCCCTTTTTATGATTTGAGGACTTCAACTCCCAGAATTCCTCAGCCAGAAACGCGTGCCTGGCTGAGGAATTCTGGGAGTTGAAGTCGACAAGTCATGAAAGAGCCACGTTTGAAGACCCCTGTGCTAGACAGTCAAAAGTCTGAACAAAAATGTTCAGTGAAGTTAGATGTCCCCCTAGGATCCTGCAAAGGAAGCCAGACTCCTAGAATAGTGGTTCTCAACCTTTTTAATGCCGCGACCCCCAACCGGTCGTAAGTTGAGGACTAAACCAGTCGTAAGTCGAGGACTAAACCGGTCGTAAGTCGAGGACTACCCAACCAGTCGTAAGTCGAGGACTTTCCCTGCCCGGGAGCGCCGCGCATGCGTGGTTCCGCCCCCTGCGCCGGCCGAGGCGTAGCTGGCAAGCGGCAGAGACGGAGCAGGCCGACCACCAGCTGGCCCAGCTCAAGGGAGGTAAGGCACCCGCCGGAAAAGGGGGGAAAAAATGGCGGACAGCCTTGCTTGGCGACCCCCATGAAATGGTCGATCGACCCCAAATGGGGTCGCGACCCATAGGTTGAGAACCGCTGTCCTAGAACGTTCAATTCTGGAACTAAAACACACACCTACTGCAGCTGCCACGTGAACAGCAAACAGGCATCCATGTTTCCAATCTATTGTTCCTACTTACCTCTGGTTGACTTGAAATGTTCAGGATCAACGCCCACAGCTCTGCTCTTAATGAATTTGGGGAGCCCTGTCGCACATACTGTTGGGCGGCTGCGCTGTCCTGCTCCGTAAGAACTACAAGAAATGTACATGAAAATACACTTATGGTTGGAGAAAAGGACTAAAAAAGAAATGGATTTTAAGCCAGAATTATTTTTGTTAGGAATAATAGGAGGCAAATTATGAGAAAGACTGTATATATTTAATTTTACGTGTGCTAAGTGCAGCAAGAATTGTATTTGCCCAATATTGGAAAAATGAAAATTTACCAACGGAAGAAGAACTAATTAAGAACATTTTAGAGTGCGCAGAAATGGATAGATTGACTTTAAAGAGAAAAGAGAAAGAAGATTCACTGTATTTTAGAACATGGCATAATTATTATCAATGGCTAGAAAAACGAGTTAGAGAGAAAGGAATGTGATATGTAACATTGAATATATACTAGTAAGAAGATTATTGAGCGATTAATTAACATATTGTTTATAATTATTCATTGTTTTTTTAAATACAGGAACCCAGACAACATATATAACAGAAAGGAAAAAAACCCTCTCATCTTCCAATTGGTGTATTTCGTTATTATTTTAATGTACTTATATGCTACTGCTACTGCTACTTGTTAACACCCAGGGGTTTACATCAGAACAAATATGTAATTCAAATATAAATATAAAAACAACAATCTTGTTGCTGGCTGATTTGTCAATGTGCAGGGCTTCCAGAAATTCCAGGAAGGGTTTTTGGACTTGGCTTGGTCTAGGATAGTCATAGTTTCCCAGTTGAAACTATGGCTAAGCCTGTCCATGTGTTGCGAAATTTAGGAGTTTTCATCATGTCTTCTTTTAGTTGGTGTTCATGGATGCGTTGTGTTAGTTTTCTGCCTGTATGTTCTACACACTGACCATTGCAGTCCTTACACTGTATGCCAGGGGTCTTCAAACTTGGCCCTTTTATGACTTGTGGACTTCAACTCCCAGAATTCCCAGGCACGCTGGCTGAGGAATTCTGGGAGTTGAAGTCCACCAGTCATAAAAGGGCCAAGTTTGAAGACCCCTGCTGTATGCAGTCGATGACTCTGCTTTTTTTCTTCTGGGTCTGCTGGGCCTTTTGGTTTACTCAGACTGTTTTGGAAGGCTTTAGTTAATGTGTGTGTTATGGTGATTCCATGTGGTTGTACTGTAATAGTCCATGGGTGATTTATGAGATTTTTTTAATGTATGTTACCTTTTTATAACGTATGAGGGTTGTGCTACATTGGGTTGCGTTTGATGAAGTTGCGTGGATATCCATTTGGTTGGAAGATGTGGTATAGATGGTTTGTTTCATTTTTATTTTTATTTTTTGGATGCTCAGGGCTGCAGATCTATCCAGCTGTGCAGTAGTGACTAACCATCAAGCAGAATTAAGATTATTTTCTTTTCCGATGCACGGACATAACTCTATTAATACCAATTAAAGGATATTTTGTGCATAGAAGAGGAGAGAGGCTCTGGTGATTATCCAGTGAAATTCAAACTAGGAATTCAGCTCTGACAAAGAGCTGTATGTAGGGACACATTGTTTTAAATTAGCCACTTGTTAAGTTCTTTCTGTAGCTAATGGTGATCGTAATGGCCTGGCTATTTGATCTTTTTTACACATCAGATTGTTTACAACGGCAGCATAATCCTAAACTTGCTTACTTGGAAATCTTCAACAGACTTATCTCTAGGACAGGGGTAGGCAACCTCGGCTCTTTTATGACTCGTGGACTTCAACTCCCAGAATTCCTGAGCCAGCATGGCTCAGCTTGGAAACCTCTCCCTTTCCCCTCAGCGTGGCTGGCTCAGGAATTCTGGGAGTTGAAGTCCACGAGTCATAAAAGAGCCAAGGTTGCCTACCCCTGCTCTAGGACAATGTGATTATTGCAGCATGACTGCTCCTTATGTAGCATAAAATAGAAACAAATGGCAATTGTATTTTTTTTAAAAAAAACCAGTATATTAAAAGCGATTATTGTATCTTACCTTTTTGACCAAGCCGTACGTGCTCACTTTCAAAGAGCTCTAAAATGTTAATAAGAATAAAGTAAAAGTATTAGTTCTATGAGAATATTTGAGTTTATATATCAGAATTACTTATTTGAATGTAATGTTCTAGCCATGTACAAAGATTAAACGACAACACCCACCTGCAGGTACATGTGCAGAATCATCAATATCCATCTGACCAGTGTTCAGGTCTAATTCACTAAAGTATTCCTTCTTGAGGGGGAGAAAAAAAAAAAGACATTTTTTGAGAGGATAAAGTATGCCACCATACACCATTTGGGAAACCAACATTAAATATCAATATATTGCTTTAATTGGCAAGCTGAACACAGAGCCTAAGACTCATGAGACCCTCGCACCGTGTAATAAATTCCTTCCCTCAGAAGACTAAAATCCCAGCATTTTAGCTGAAGACTCAATACAGAAAGTCCTCGGCTTACAAGAGTTCGTTTAGTGACCGTTCAAAGTTACGACACCACTGAAAAAAAATGTGACTCATGACCATTTTTCACCCTTGCAGCATCCCCATGGTGTTGTGATCGAAATATGGATGCTCGGCAACGGGTTCATTATTTACGACCGTCGCAGTGACCCGGGGTCATGTGATCCCGTTTTGCGACCTCCTGACAAGCAGTGGGGAAGCCAGAATCACTTAATAACCGGGTTGCCAACTTAACAACTGCAGTGATTCACTTAACAGCTGTGGCAAAATAGGTCGCAAAAGGGGGCAAAATTCCCTTCACAAATGTCTCACTTAGCAACAGAAACTTTGGGCGCAATTGCGGTCGTTAAATCAAGGACCACCTGTATAGTAAAGTGATACTGCACTGCAGTATAACAACTGCCAGAAATCATTTAGTTATTTAAAAGGAGAGACATCACGCTGCCAACAAAAGTATGTATAGTCAAGGCCAGGGGTAGTCAACCTTGGCTCTTTTATGACTCGTGGACTTCAATTCCCAGAAGTCAAGTCCACGAGTCATAAAAGAGCCAAGGTTGACTACCCCTGGTCAAGGCCATGGTTTTCCCAGTTGCAATGTATGGCTGCGAAAGTTGGACCATAAGAAAGGCTGAGTGCCAAAGAATTGAGGTCTTTGAACTATGGTGCTGGAGAAGACTCCTGCGAGTCCCCTGGACTGCAAGGCCATCAAACTGGTCAGTCCTAGAGGAGATCAACCATAACTGCTCTTTAGAAGGCCAGATCCTGAAGTTGAAACTCAAGTACTTTGGCCACCTAATGAGAAGGAAGGACTCACTGGAGAAGAGCCCGATGCTGGGAAAGATGGAGGGCAAGAGAAGAAGGGGACGACAGAGAATGAGGTGGCTGGATGGAGTCACTGAAGCAGTAGGCGTGAGCTTAAATGGACTCCAGAAGATGGTAGAGGACAGGAAGGCCTGGAGGAACGTTGTCCATGGGGTTGCAATGGGTCGGACATGACTTCGCAACTAACAACAACAATAACAAATAGACTAGAATTTTCTTTAATATCACTTGCCTAAACCCTGAAAAATATTCCTTTGCAGTGGGGGATTTAAAATTCATGTATCAGGAATATTCAGCAATTCTCATATATTCCGATTCAAGGTTTACATGTGTCCCATGTCTAGGATGTAGACCACCACTTTTTTACACTAATCCATTCACCCCAGCCCTGCCCCCATTTTTTTCATTCTCTGCAACAGGAGGCCCAAAAAAATTATTTCTCCATATACAAGAAGCGCTAGAAGGAGATGGTTACCTTTCTTCACCCTTTGTACCATATTCATCTTCTAATATTCTAAAGGTCTTCTGCACCTTAGAAAAATGCTAACCATTTTTTATACATATGTATTCAAGAGTAAGGTTCACGGGGCACAGCACCGTACTGTTAAATTAAATTGTTAAATTTTTAAAGAAGCTGCAATGGATGCTTACCAGTTCAGGTATATCTCTCACGTTCAGTGGGACCTGAATGAGTCCCAAGTGATTTCTAAAATTAGACAGCTCGCTGGTGTCATAATTTGGATTGCGAAGATTCATCAGCACCTTTAAAAAGAAGACTAGAATTGACCATGCGTGCATTAAGAACTAAATAAAATATTTTAAAATATCTACTTTATACCAATGGGACAATTTGTGCCGGCCAGATTTTTTGTGCCCACTTCTCCGCGGGGCCCCCGCCACAGCCAACCCACCACCGGCATTTATGCTTGGCAGGCCCTCCGCCAGCATTCCTTCCCACTAAAGCTCATTTGTGAATCTAATAACTCAAAAGATCCATTCTCAGGAACTACAAGATTTTGAGTAAAAAAAGGCATATTCAAAACTAAAACCTGATCCATTTTTTTGCAAAAACTTACCTCAAGAAAATCTTTGGGTGCATAAACTGGCCTGAAGAGACTTAGATCTGAAATAAAAAAAAGTTATACAACCCTAAATATTTTATAGCTATTTGGACTACACATTCCATTAATAATAATTATCAAATTTTGTTATTTCAGCCTCGTTCTAATATCTAACATCCAGGAATATTTCCAGACGAGTAAAACTCATGCAGAATAATTGAAAGCACTAATGTAATAATTGAGAACAACTCTTAGAAAGGTGTTTTTTTTTTTAATGAAGAAAAAAAGAATAAACAAAAATATCAATAAATAATTGAGGCTGGTCTATTTTAACTTGTTTAACATTAAAGGATAAGGTATATTGGAATAATCAAGATATCTGTGCACTCTTTGAGAGATGAGTAACAGACACAATATTTGAGAATACTTGCCCAGAATCAGAAAAAAAGTTATTGATATGTGGACTATGGAATAACAGAGAAATGGGATCTGTGGATCATTAAATCTTCTAGAAGGCCATTAAACCCTGGCTCTTTATTTGACCCTGAGATATAGTGGTAGATCCTGCAAAGAATCGTTGAAGCATCATGAGATGGTGATTTAGATACAGGGCTTTTAGTTTTGGTCACTGTCAGACGTGAAAGACCAGATCCACACACAAAGGCCCAACTCAACTGATTTATTGCTACATACACAACCTTTTCAATTAACGGTTGGTATTTACTTGAGAGTTAGATACGGGTCAACAGAATTCAAGAATTGGATTTAATCCATTTGTGTCTCTGTAGGGATTCTAGGCTGATCACTCTCTTAACTCCGCTCTCAGGTCCCGTCATGCCTTCTCCTACAGTTGTGTAGTTCTTATGGTCATTTTAGTTTTATGGTTGTTGTGAGTCACCCAGAGTTGTTTTAAGATGGGTGCCCATTCCAATCTTTTAAATAAATAAATAAACCCAATTAAATATTGTATGAGCATATGTCACAACCCTCCCCCCCCAAAAAAAAATACATCCCCAGGGACTTGAGACACAATAAGTCAGGCGTCTTCAAACTTGGGGCCCTTTTATGACTTGTGGACTTCAACTCCCAGAATTCATCAGCCAGGCATGCTGGCTGATGAATTCTGGGAGTTGAAGTCCACAAGTCATAAAAGGGCCAAGTTTGAAGACCCCTGTAATAAGTCCTGTCAATTCAGCCATAAAACATTTCAGAAAGCCAAGTATTCAATCATACGTGTAACTTAATTTGTTAACCTTGTATAGAAGGGTGGTATTATATTGATAATAGTTATATTATATTATTATATTATTATATTGATAACAGTTACATGTTTTCCCCTGTGAAAGAAAACAGGAATGGGTTGGTCTTTGTTGTCTGTGGTACCATAATGAGCAGCTTGTATTTCAAGGGACAGTTGTATCATAGAGGAAACCGATAAGACAACTTTCTCCTACAGCTTATAACAGGAGATAGGCAAGAAAAGCACAATTCAGATCTCTGAAAAGTTTTTGACATCTTCAACCTTTAGGGTAGGGCAGGGGTAGGCAACCTTGGCTCTTTTATGACTCGTGGACTTCAACTCCCAGAATTCCTGAGCCAGTACAGCTTAGCTTGGAAACCTCTCTCTTTCCCCTCAGCATGGCTGGCTCTGGAATTCTGGGAGTTGAAGTCCACGAGTCATAAAAAAGCCAAGGTTGCCTACCCCTGGGGTAGTGAGATATTTCCTGTCTTTCTCTTATATATTCTTTTTTAAAAAGTAGTAAAAGTAAGTTTGCACGTGCACATATCCTGGGTCCGATTTTAATTTTCATAATGAAGGCGTGCTGTACCTGGTTCATCCGTTCCCATTTCGTTCCATTTGTTCAAAAGTTCTTTTTGCTCACTCAGTGGTCTCTGTAGAGCACAAAAAAAAAAAACCAGGGTGCAGTCAAATCTAATAGGGACACATACCTAAAATATACACAAGATTATAGATAAACTTTACATTTAATAATAACGATACCTTCTGTGATAGTGGAATGCCAAGTTCTATACACATGCTGTTCAGGCTCTTCAAAATACGTTTTTCCCAGTTTGCCTGGAAAAAAGAACATATATCAATAGAATCAGTTCATCTTCCTCCTAGTTATAATTTCTGATTGGAAGGTATTCTCCCATTTACTCTTTCAATTTAAATTTTAAATACCGGTATAGATTATACGCGTACGTACATTTCCATCTAACCTGCCTATTCCGAGCAGGTCAATGTCAAGTCCACACTTCCCAATTGTGTTTACTATGCCCAGCTGCAGAAGTAGTTTTTAAGTACTGGCAGAGAAACCCTGTAAATGTTATCTTGTTCAGAAACAGGACAGGACAATTGGTGGCATATTACTGTTTTAATATCCATAGCCAGTGGAGCACGGAGCAAATATTGTACCACACAATCCAGGGCACTGGTCATCCCACTTTTGAACA